TCTCTTCTAAAAATACAAAAATTAGCCAGGCCTGGTGGCACACACCTGTAGTCCCAGCTACTTGGGAGGCTGAGGCATGAGAATCACTTGAACCCAGGAGGTGGAGGTTGCATTGAGCCGAGATCACGCCACTGCACTCCAGCTTGGGCAACAGAGTGAGACTCTGTCTCAAAAAATAAATAAATAAATAAATAAATATAAATAAATATACATCCTTGGCCAGGTGCGGTGGTTCACACCTGTAATTCCAGCACTTTGGGAGGCTGAGGTGAAAGATTGCTTGAGCCCAGGAGTTTGAGACCAGCCTGGGCAACATAGTGAGACCCTGCCTTTCCAAAAAAATGATGTATAAATTAGCCAGGTGTGTTGGCATGCACCTGTAGTCCCAGCTACTCCGAAGGCTGAGGTGGGAGGATCACTTGAGCTGGGGAGGTAAAGCCGCCATGACCCTTGCACTCCAGCCTGGGCGACAGAGCAAGATTCCACCTCAAAATAAATAGATAAACAAACATCTTCAGTGGAGGTAACTCAACTCAAACTTAAAGGAGTGGACACAATGACTAAGAAAATGAATAACTTTTTAAAAAGTTTTATTTCAAGAACTTTGTTTTTTTACTGGTATTTCAAAAAAAGGTGGGTCAAAGTACAAAAAAAAGTCAGTTGAATAACAGCACAGGTTTAGAAATCACAGCAGCAGAAGCAATGTACAGACAGCACAGACAAAACAACCCAATGTATGCAATTTTGTTCAGTTTCTTTGCTTATTTTAAGTATTTTTTTTTTTTTTGCCTCCTGTACAAAATACATCAAAGCATGCCATGAGATCAGAAAAAGAAAAGAGTTTAACAAATGGTTACAAGAAATAGACTCTGTACAAGAGGAGATAATGTTTCTTTCCCCTACCCCGCCCCCACCAGCCCCGCTTCCTCTCTTCTTGCTCTGTTTTAGGTTAAATTATTCTGAAGACAGTTCACATCCAAGTCAGCCTGGTCACCTTTGCCACCCTCAAGTTTGGGCGACATGGAGTTCTGGATGTTAAATGACTCCTCCTCTTTCAGGCAGGATTTGAGAGCCTCCTGGATTTTGTGGGGAGCACTAGGATCATCCTGGAAGAGGGAAAAAGTTGGGGTGGGGGGAGACAATGCATACAGCAATCAAATAATAATATCAGGTTTTTCTATCTGGCTGAAGGAAGCATCACTGAAACAAGGAAAAAGCTCCAAGACTTGAATTAACTAAAAGGAACCAAAGTAACTCATTAGCAGCAACTTTTTAGGAAAGTCATCCTTAAAAGCAATGGCCAGGCAGAGAGGAAAACTTGACAGTAATCAGCTTACAAATACCTTTAATTTGGGCCATGTCCAAGGTTTTCTCTTGAACAGAGATCGGGAAGAAAGAGTCCCTTGGCCCAGGTGCCTCTACAGCCTCATGTGTTGATGAGCTCTGCGTGGCCTGCTGAGCCCGGCTTTCCTCTGGCCTTCCATCCTGTTCAGTTTTGCTTTCACAAAGATGTCTTGGTCAGGGAACATGTCTCATCAGTGTATACAGTGGGGTATGCATAGGACTGGTAAAGTGCAGAACTGCTCCTGGCTATGCTAGGGGCCTCTCTCCCCACAGTAAGAGCATGTCCTCTGAGTAGAGGTCAAAGATGTGTCAGTCTCTCATTGTCACAAGTGAACCTGCCAAAAGGATGTCCTCAATCCAAGCCCGAATGAACCTGGCTGCCTCAATGGCTTGCCACACTCTGCATCACATGATATTTGCACTGCTGATTCTAATGTAATAATCCATGTATATTGCCTACAGCCCTGTGACAAGCTCTCTCTGACAAACTCCTGAACATGAGATGAATTTGCATTTTATGTATATATGTATGTATGTATTTATTTATTTTTGAGATGGAGTCTCGCTGTGTCACCCAGGCCAGAATACAGTAGTGTGATCTTGGCTGACTGCAATCTTGAACCTCTTGGGTTCAAGGGATTCTCGTGCCTCAGTCTCCCCAGAACCTGGGATTATAGGCGCTCGCGACCATGCCTGGCTAACTTGTATTTTTAGTAGAGATGGGGTTTCATCATGTTGGCCAGGCTGGTCTCAAACTCCTAGCCTCAAGTGATCCACCCACCTCGGCCTCCCGAAGTGCTGGGATGACAGGTGTGAGCCACCACACCAGCCTGAATTTGCCTTTTAAAGGTTCTCAGGAAGCCCACACTAGCACAAAGTCCTCCAGGTCTGCATTCTGCACATTCAGAGAACTTCTGTGGCAACTCTTGCTTTACTCATTTCCCTTAGGACCACCTAAGGGGAATATACCTAGTACAATTCAGTGGGCTTCAGTTCTTTCTCTGGTGCCCCAAACAGCTGTTGTAAGTGCTTGGAACTCTGCTGATGGAAGAGGGTGTGTAACCACTAAGGCAGATTCATGGATGGCAAGAAGGTAGAGAGTGTCCTAATCTGACCAGCTAGCTAAGGCCATTCTTGCTTCAACCACTACCAAAATTCAAGATTACCATCATGCTTAAGGACCAGGGTGTTCTCCACAGAAGTCTGGTGAGTCCTCGTCTGTGCTGCCTGCTACTGAGTTTGACCCATAACAGCACTAGGTTATGGGAGTGATGAGTTGGAAAGAAAGTAGGGAGAGACCCCAGGCTTTCCATGGTGCTTGTACACACAGGACACCGGGGCGTCCACGAGTTCTGTGCGTATGGAAATCACTGCCAGCTGCCCAATGGCCACAGCCTCACTCAGTGCTTCTCCAGAGGCCAATATTAAAGAGGACAATTTAGTAGAGTTTCAAATACTTCACACATGATTTGTAGACAGGGGAACACATGTTTCTTGTCCCAATGAGACAAGAACAAGACAATGAACTTCACAGAGTACTGAGGCATACATGAGGCAAGGCAGCTGCACATAGCACGTGTAGCCAGTTGAACGGTCAATCACTGCTTAGAATCAGAAAACACTGTGCAGCGACATAAATGTCCATCTGCTGAGAAAGAAAGATCTCCATGATACACTGATTGAAAAAAAGTAAGGGGTAGAACATATGTATAGCAAAATCTCATTTATGTTTCAAAAATATAGATATAGGTGTGTGTTTGTGTGTATATATATACACACACGTGTGTACTTTATGGAGAGGGAAGTGGGGGTGACGTAGAGCTGCACTTTTTTATTTCATGTACTTCTGTACTCTTTGGGGGAAACCATGGGCATGAAAGCTTGAGAGCTGAGCTAACACTATCGTTATGTAGGATAGACTTTGAATCACACTAAAATCTGAAACAGGACAAGAGGACCTATACTCACCTCTCCTCTTACAAGGATACAACTTGCTTTTATGTCTTTCAAGATAACCTCTCACCCTCAACTCCTTCATCACATATTCTTTGGGGGCATACAGGGGTACAGAAACATTCTCATAATGTGAAGAAAAGTAGACTAAGGGACTCCTCACAGACCCAGGTCTCAGAGCTCTGATGCCATGAAGGTGGGCTCCCAGATTAAACCTGACCCCTTGAGGGCTCATGAGGTCCAGATTAGAAAACTGCCTTCTGAGCCAAGGGATGGAAGAAGCATATCCCAAAAGCAAGAGATATGCAAACAGCGCTATTAGACAAGCTGAATCCTCCAACAAACACAACAGGCAAAGGAATGTCTACACCAAGATGGAGCTCTCCTAACCCAGGTGTTTGCTCTAGAACTTGATCCTATTAAGCCAAGGGTAGCTGAATTCCACAGCAGGTCCAACTGCCTTTGACTTAACAGAAGTACCTCATCACAAGGGAGCTGGATCAACATCTGGCATAAGTTTCTAGGAACCACTGTGGACTCACTGCTCCCAGCCTTCAACCCCAGCAATATGGACACCCTTCAACCCAGGGGTCATGTGGGTTCAGGTCTGGACCCCACTGGTCAGAGGCAAACGTCTATTGGAAGAGGGTGGGCAGTCAGTGCTTTAACAAATACATGCAAGAGGAGAGTCTGGGAAGTGAGAGTTAAATAGGAAAAAACAAACAAACAAACAAAAGCACAGGGGCATCAATGGAGAAACCCTAGTAATAAACTGAAATCCTGGAAGGTCTGTCAAATCTTAGTACAACCCAAGTTACCCCCATGGTCTCCACAGCACCGTTGTGGGGACCACCAGGGCAGCCCAGTGTTGGGGCAGCTGCCCTGAGTTTCTGGTGGCTTCATTCACGCAGTGTGCTGGAGCGCGGGCAGCTTCCTACACTATCCGTGACATACCCTTCAAGGCTGGTTGTTCAGCTACACAAGACACTTACACAGACTCAGCCTAAGGCTGGCCAGCTACAGAGCCGCACATCAGCCTGAGGGCAGAGAGGAGTGGAGGAGGCAAGGAGGTGCCACTGGTACAGATACCAGCCACTGACCCTTCCCTGTCACAGGCCCAAAGCCCCAGACTTTTTTGTTTGCAGTCTTTTCAGAGTGTGGCTAGTAGAGGTGATTGAAACAGTGTAGGAAATTGACCTGCTCAACCTATTTTGCTTATATAAAAGAAATAACGCCTCCATGAAAATAAATAAAACTCTCCAAAATTTTAGAGAACACCAATACCAGCAAGGAGCTTGGGGGCAGGGAGAGAGGGGTGGGGAGAGGCCACAAGGCAGGCTGGACTCCAGTGCCCCCTCGTCTCTCCTCCCGGCTCATCTGGAGGATTTCTCACTCTCCCCGGCTGCTGGCACCCCTTGGAGGCAGTCAGTGTGGCGGCTGTAGCAGTGAGCAGGGCTTCACTTCATAAACAAGTGGCAACAGTGTTCATCAGCAATGCCCACAAGATCTTGAATATGACTAAGTTTGACCTTTGGGTGAGGTGGAGAGAATTAGAGATGAAGGTAGAAAATCCACCAGTACATTTCCTGCTGGATAGGAGAGTCACCTCTCTGCTTTCAGAGAGGAGAGGATGATGTCCCCTTGGGCACAAGCTGACAGAAAGACACCAGCCTCAATCTCCTTGGAGTCTGGGTATTTGGTTAAAAAAAAAAAAAGGGGGGGCCGGGCGCGGTGGCTCAAGCCTGTAATCCCAGCACTTTGGGAGGCCGAGACGGGCGGATCATGAGGTTAGGAGATCGAGACCATCCTGACTAACATGGTGAAACCCCGTCTCTACTAAAAAATACAAAAAATCTAGCTGGGCGAGGTGGCGGGCGCCTGTAGTCCCAGCTACTTAGGAGGCTGAGGCAGGAGAATGGTGTAAACCCGGGAGACGGAACTTGCAGTGAGCCAAGATCGGTCACTGCACTCCAGCCTGGGCGACAGAGCGAGACTCCATCTCAAAAAAAAAAAAAAAAGAAGGCATCAGCCTCAAGATCTAAGAGGAGCCAGGAGAGAACCAGAGCCAGATCTTGCTGCTTCCTAATGGATGGCTTGAGTGCTGCCTTGGCCACCCCATCACCCCGTCTCAGGCATAGCCCACCATGGCTGACACCCTCACCCGCCCCATAGCTGACCCCCAAGCCTCATGCTAGATCACCACTGCCTGTGGCCAACCACCCACTGTGGCCGACCACCACCCTTCTGTGGCTGACCACCCCCTGCTCTGCTGTTTTCAAGGCTTGCCATCTTCTGAACTAAGGGTCAGTGGCAGTGTTCAGGTACAAAAACCTCACTTTCCACAAAGCTGGATCAGCCAAGAACAAGAAACCTTTGCACTGGCTGTGTAGCCAAGCCCTCCAAGAGGAGCTCTTTCTTTTCCCCCTCTGGGAAGAGGAAAGGTGTCTGAAGCTATGGTACCAGAAACACAAGGGTCAGAAACTTTCCTAAGGACGCTTGCACTCTGTCAAGCGGAGTGGGAGGACTCTGTCCAACCATGGACAGTGAACATGCTGACTACAGGAGCTCCCGCCGTGGCAGACCTGCTGCCATCTGCAGGATGGCAGATTGGCCAGTGGAACCGAGAGCCCCCGTAGCAGGCCATCACTCACTAGTATTCAGCAAGTGCTGACTGTGTGCATGTTACTGAAGAGGGCGGGGTAATGTGCTCACCAAGAAGAGCGAGCGAGACTCTGTCCTGCCCTCAGGGTGCCTACATCTCTGTGGGTTGATGAACATGGTGACCAATCTTACAGTTTATAAGACATAGTGTTTCCTTGGTTATAATGTTCATCTTGACCTTACTTGTTGTATCTTGGTACATACCAAGTGAAATAATCTGTTCTTTTTCTACCCTTTACATCAAAGTCTTTAAAAAATTATCCTAAGTTTACCTCTTTTACTTCATATTTAAATTCACCCATTTACTTCTCCTGTACCAGGCCAAGATTTCCTATTCTGGGGTTTTGTGAATGAGGCCACACATTTACTCTTATTCTCTCTTCCTCCTTCTGGGGCTGCAATTTCCCCATCTATAAAAGGAAAAAGGACAGTCATGGTAGCTCACACCTGTAATCCTAACACTTTGGGAGGCTGCGGCAGGAGGATCACTTGAGCCCAGGAGTTTGAGACCAGCCTGGGCAACATGGCAAAACCCCATCTTTACAAAAGTTAAAATAATGAGCCAGGTGTGGTGGCACATGCCTGTAGTCCTAGCGACTCAGGAGGCTGAGGCAGGGGTATCACTTGAGCCCAGGAGTCTAGGTCCGCACTGTGTAACGTGGTAGCATTAACTACCTTTTAAGAGCTCTGCAGCTGCAAGTGGCTAGTGGCTGTTGTAGTAGACAGAGCAGATATAGAACACTTCTATTTCACAGAAAGTTCCACTGGACAGTATTGGTCTAGATTGCTGAGGCCCCTGTGAGGTCTGACACTCTATGGTCCATGATTTCTAAGAACGTCTTCTAAATTTCTTCTTAAACTCCATTGCTTCAGTCTGCAGTCTCAGTTTAGCTTGTTTATCTGTGTAATAATCTGTGTAAAAATGCATTTATCTTGAAGTATGGAACCTGCATTATATAGAGAATTCTAGCATTTGGATGTGGCACGATTTGGGATTTGGATGGTTTCTGCCTTGTTTTCGAAATTCTCTCTAGTATTTTACTGGTCTAATCCAGGCAATACACTAGGCCACAGTCTTTAGAAAATGGTCTATTGGGATCTTTTATTGGATTTCAACTGATACTTATAAGCCCATCCTCCTAAGAACAGGATTATTCCTAGACTTAAGGCTCTGCCAGTGTTTGGTTTTCAGGCCTTGGCCCTAACCAGCTGTGTATAACCCTGCCAGTTCTTAGGGTCTTCAAATAGCAGCAAGGACACAGAACTCTTTCCACCCATCCCAAAGAGCAACCATCATTTGCTTCACTGACCATCATGAAATTCCTCAGCAGTGAAAGCAGAGCCCTTCTCCTTGATATGGAAAATAAGACAATAATCAGACTTCTAAAGCATAGATGAAGCAAAAAGTCATGAGTAATCCTAGAAAAAGATCTTCTCAGCCAGGCAGGTGGCTCACGCCTACAATCCGAGCACTTTAGGAGGCTGAGGCACGAAGACCACTTGAGGCCAGGAGTTCGAGACCAGCCTGGGCAACACAGTGAGACCTCATCTCTATAAAAATTTTAAAAAGAAAAAGACCTTTTCTATTTAAAATTCTGCTTGTCAAATAAGTGATACATCATCAAGTGCTTATTCCCACCTTTGCTGCCCAACCCAGTTGCCCTAGGCTGACCTCCAGAGCTCTCTGGGGATTTCATACTTTGAAATAGACACCAGACATGGGCTAGGGGCCAAAGCATGCATAAGAGGAGAGATGTGAAGAAAACAAGTTACCTGACAGATAACGTTATCATAGTGAGCCAAGGCACGGGCATGGGGGGAGGAGGTACGGGGAGTGTTGCAAAGTTTCCTTACATTTGGGTGAGAGCCCTCGGCAATTGTGGAGAGGGAGAAGTTATCATTGTGGAGTTCAGCTGGGGTCCGGAATTTGCTGATTAAGAGAGAAGAGTGAAGGAAAAATGTAAGTGAAATAATCACGACAAAACATGACAATGTCTCAGCTTCTGGATCAAATACTGTATTTCGGCCGGGCGTGGTGGCTCAACGCCTGTAATCCTAGCACTTTGGGAGGCTATGGCAGGCAGATCACTTGAGGTCAGGAGTCAAATTAACTTGGTGAACATGGTGAAACCCCATCTCTACTAAAAATACAAAAATTAGCTGGGTGTGGTGGCATGCACCTGTAATCCCAGCTACCTGGGAGGCTGAAGCAGGAGAATCATTTGAACCTGGGAGGCGGAGGTTGCAGTGAGCCGAGATCGTGCCACTGCACTCCAGTCAGGCCAACAGAGCGAGACTCCGTCTCAAAGAACAAACAAACAAAAAAACCAAATACTGTATTTCTTTCTTTATTAAAAAAAGTATTTTAAATTTTATTGGTAAGTGCAGAACTGTGCCTAGTGCTGGTTATCGGTTTTTAAAGGCTTTTCTTTTCTTTTCTTTTTGAGACAGAGTCTCACTCTGTTGCCCAGGCTTGAGTGCAGTGGCACAATCACAGCTCACTGTGCCTTGACCTCCTGGGTTCAAGTGATCCTCCCACCTCAGCCTCCCAAATAGCTGGGACTACAGGTGCATGCCACCATGCCCAGGTAATTTTTGTAGAGATGGGGTTTTACCATGTTGCCCAGGCTGATCTTGAACTCCTGAGCTCAAGCAATCTGCCTGCCTCAGCCTTCCAAAGTGTTAGGATTATAGGTGTGAGCCACTGTGCCCGGCCAAATACTGTGTTTTATCAAATGCCATGGATTATCTTTTTTTTAAATTTTACTTTAAGTTCCGGGATATAAGTGCAGAACATGTCGGTTTGTTATATAGGTATACGTGTGTCATGGTAGTTGGCTGCACCCATCAACTCATCATCTAGGTTTTAAGCCCCACGTGCATTGGCTGTTTGTCCTAATGCTCTCCCTCCCCTCTCCTGGATTATCTTAAAACAAATTTTTTTTTTTTGTAAAGATGAGGTCTTGCTATGTTGCTCAGGCTGGACTCAAATCCTTGGGTTCAGGTGGTACTCCTGCTTTGGCCTCCCAAAGTCTTGGGATTACAGGCATGAGTCACAGCATCTAGCCAAATGCCATGGACTGTAATAAGATGCACCATTATTTGATGTACCATTAAGAAAAAATAAAAACACTTCCACCACTTAAACCATCATCCAATACTTTCTTACACCTTAGAGGTTTTTTTTGTTTTTGTTTTTGTTTTTTTGAGACAGAGTCTTGCTCTGTTGCCCAGGCTGGAGTGCAGTGGCACAATCTCGGCTCACTGCAGCCTCCACCTCCTGGGTTCAAGCATTATCTGGCTCAGCCTCCCGAGTAGCTGGGACTACAGGCGCCCATCACCACACCCAGCTAATTTTTGTATTTTTAGTAGAGACGGGGTTTCACCATCTTGGCCAGGCTGGTCTTGAACACCTGACCTTGTGATCCACCCGTCGTGATCCACCTGCCTCGGCCTCCCAAAGTGCTGGGATTATAGGCATGAGCCACCATGCCCAACTGAGCTTTTCTTATATACTTGAAGTAGTTCATTTAGACTTTAGATAAGGGACTGACAACAATATGAACAGCTAGGAACCCATTTGTGCATGCCGGGGAATTACCACTACATCATAACTACCATGTGGCCAACAGTGATCATAAGATGCCAGTGGCTGGGCACCGTGGTGCATGCCTGTAGTCACAGCTATTTGGGAGGATGAGGTGGAAGGATCACTTGAGCCCAGGAGTTCAAGACCACCCTGGGTAACATAGTGAGACCCTGTCTCAATTAAAAAAAAAGAGATGCCAGTAATTGTAAGACACAATCCAATTTCAGAGATGTTAATATGTGGGGGAAAAAAGGTATATTTTAGAATAAATAAATTATGGCAGTATCTGCAGTGCACCAGGTGCATGTCACACCATCAAAGCAATAACCAGGCTTGGGAAAGAAAGAAGGCATGTGGAGAAACAAGAGGGCCATGCTCTGTGAAAAACACAGGGCTGGCTAGAGGAGGAGGCCCTAGAATAGTGTCCTGCACCTGGCCTCAGCTCTTGCTTCTTCACTGCCCTGGCTGTTGTTCCTTTCTCTCCTCCATCCTCATCAGCAACTGCCGTGATTGAAGCAGTCCCATCTCCTGTCCCCTGAATACCCCTGCTCACCCACCCCCTTGGTGTAGGCGTGAGGAGCCAGGGGTCCAGGACTGGGTCTTTCTGGAGTGATCACGTGCGTAGATGCAGCCCGCCTCAGTGCACAGGCACAATGGAGAGGCCCTACCAGCCCCGCGGCGGTTAGCTGAAAGGCTGCAGAGAGCTGCTGGCATCTGTACATTGTGTGAGTCTACCCAGCAAAGGAGCAACAGATGGTGTTTTGTCCTTTTCCCAGGACCCAGGGAAAGTCCTTCAGTCATATTCTCTAGAGGAAGTCTCAGGTCAAGGGGAGGGGGATTAATGGGGCAACAGGTTGAAAGGGAAGTGGGAGCAGTTCTGCATAAATTGTTTCTGGGGTCCCAAGGAAGCTGAACTCCAATCTCCCTTTTGTGACTCCTGTGACACTTCCAAAAGGTTTTCTAACTTTGCTTAGTGATAGGAGTAATTCTCTCATAGCATGTAAGGTCACATCCTAGTGTTCAAGGCATGGGCTTAAAGGCAAACACATGTTGATTCTCACATGCACACAATAGTCACTGCTTTGCTAAGGGAAGAGCTGAAATAAGATTCTACATCCCATATGGCCCTTAAAATCCACAGTAGAGGAAGTTAAACCTAGTTCTCCCCACATATTCTTTTCAGGAGAGATAAAGAGGATTTCCTTAAGTTCCTTGCACTTCCGATTGGACACAGGCTTGACTAGCTTTCAAAAACCAATGCAGTGTGGTGCTCAATAAACACTTTCTCCTCAGCATTCACCGAGGAGGAGATGGTTTTGGATGACAGATGTGAAAGAGATGGAGTTCCTCCACACAGAATTGTGAATGACATCTCGCACTGGCTGCTGGCTGTCACAGTCCAGAGAAGAAGGGGCTATCAGGAGGGTGGACAGACTGAGTAACTTACTTGGGGGCTAGAGGAGGAGTAGCTACATGCTGGTTGCCTTTTTAAAGCAGGCTCTCAGGTGCCTAGGGCAGGGGTTTGGGAAAGCTGCTGGACAGCGGCAGTGTGCCACAGGGGCTTCACCTCTGCTGCAGCTCCAGCACATTTTGTGTGGGAACAGACGAGCCTGGGTGAATCTTTAGCACCAACAAAACAGCTGGGAATGGAGCACAGGTGCCAGAAACCCTCAGGACAAAGTCCCTGGATCAGTTGGAGGGGTATAGCAGGGTCGGGGGCCTCCCACACCCTGACCTGGGTGGACGGGTGAGTGACACAGACTCACTTGGTCCTACGCAGCTTGGTGTTCTCCGTCTTGAGAAGGTAGAGCTTCTTAGCGAAGAATACCGTCATCATGAAGAGCAGGAGCAGGACGAGGGCAGCTGAGCCCACGGCCACGCACATCACCTGGAAGTCGGTGATGATGGACTCGCAGCGCATCCCCTTGTGCCAGATGTAGTCCTGCGTGTTGCACCTGCAGCAGCGACATTGAGAAACCGTAGCGATGGAGCAGGCAGCCACAGCCACAGCAAGGGCCTGGGCCCTCACCCCAACACCTATCTCCACAGCCTGTTCCTCAGGCCAACTAGAGCAACTGTAATGCTCCGAATCTGCACAGACCTCAGAGCTGGTGTGATCGCCCCCACCTTCACAACCATTCTATGAAGTGGGCCAGGGAGCTCTGAGGTCTGTGATATAAATGAGGTAACCGAGGAGTAGAGAAACCGAGTGAACTGGTCAAAGTTCTCTGACTGCTAAGTGACTGAGGAGGGAAGGGAATCCTGGTCTTCTGCTGTGCAGCCTCAATGAAGACACCAACAGGATCCTCTCAGGCCTCTCCCTGCCCTTGGCTCTGGGTGAAAGAAAGATGAAAAACAAGAGGAATAAGAGCTACAACTACAAAGTCCCAGGACCTGCCCTGCACATGCAAACCTATCTTGCTGCTTTGTAGTCCCACCTAGTTCACGTGGCTAAGAAGACACCGAAAAATAAGGAAGTGACACACAAGGACAAACAGAAAGATGGATGTAGATCCTTCTATCTCTGCAGCCCCCCAAGTTCTGCCCCTAAAGCTCCCTATTCTAGTACTATGAGAACTGTCATGCAAGCACAGTGAGAATCAACCCTCTGGGTGGGTTTTAGTCTTTTTGTTGAGTGACTTTCTCCTGCCCTTGGGGACATTCCCAGGCTCCAACTCTTCCAATGACATTGCTGTTTCCATGGGAACGAGGCTGCTTCAAAGAGGAAAGATGTGGAAGGATACAGAGGCAGGCAAAGGAGGGAGGACATGAACCTCAGGGTGAATGACAGACAAGAGAAAAGGGTCCAGAAATGGGGAAATTATGCACCAGAGAACTGGCTACTCCACATCTAGAATAGGGTGGGGAGACATGGCTAGCAAAAAATTCTTTGTTTTCCAACTGAGCCTCTGCCGTCATGGAGGGCTATCTGTTTGAGGTTGCCAGGGAATGCAGACCCCTCTAAGCGGGGCCCTCTACTCCAGTGTTCTAGAGAAGTTCCGCCACAGCTCTGCTCATTTCCCTGCAGTGGGTCAGGGTGACAGAGACAAAGGCACACTGCAGTCTGCAACAAACGGCTCAGCAGTCTCCTGTGAGTGGAATGCAAAAATAGTTTTCAAGCCATGGCCAGGCCTGGGTGTACACAGCCAGGGGAGGAATCTGGTAGGAAGGCCCGAATGTGATCCTGGGATGGAAGCTAAGCAAGGGGAACTGGAGTGGACACGTGGAGAAGCCCTTGTGAGGCAGTGAGAGGCTGGTAGACCCATGCTGGCAGAGTCATGTAGCTTAGTGAGGAAGACAATCTTATTCTTCTACTTGGGAATTTTCCGAGAGTTCCAGGAGATTCTGGGAATTTTTACAGCTCTCTAGAGCTGTAAAATTTCATACTATTATGAGGAGTTCACTTTGAAGGTGAAAATTCCAGGCCTCCAATAGGATGAAAGATGATGATTTTGCAAAGAGGTTGCACAACCCCCAGGCTACATCACTATAGTCCCCCAAACTGAAGTTTGAGGAGCAAAATCACAGGGTTTCCTCATATTTCTGGTAGCCCTTAATCAATGGGCAAGTTAGTTTATTGCCATATTTTCTTTTTTAAAATAAAACTGCTACAATTTCTTAATCACAGTACCTCCTTTTGGCAGTGGCTGGACAACTCCAAGAACTGTGTGGTCACGTCCTATGAGTGACCCTAAAGTCATGATCATTTATAAAAAAGAACTTCGGCCAGGCGCAGTGGCTCATGCCTGTAATCCCAGCACTTTGGGGGGCTGAGGCGGGCAGATCACGAGGTCAGGAGATTGAAACCATCCTGGCTAACACAGTGAAACCCCGTTTCTACTAAAAATACAAAAAATTAGCCGGGTGTGGTGGCGGGCACCTGTAGTCCCAGCTACTCAGGCGGCTGAGGCAGGAGAATGGTGTGAACCTGGGAGGCGGAGATTACAGTGAGTCGAGATTGTGCCACTGCACTCCAGCCTGGGCGACAGAGCAAGACTTCATCTCAAAACAAACAAACAAAAAAGAACTTCATAGAAAGAAACTGGAACTCAAGTTACAATGCCAAGGACAAAATACTCATTGCTTTCTATATGTTATTCTCTGATCACTACATCAGGACTTAAGGAACTTGAATTCTTCATATACCTGCAGAACGAACAAGAACAAGAAGGATGGAGAATGACACTTGAAAAAGAGATACCCTGGCCGGGCATGGTGGCTCACGCCTGTAATCCTAGCACTTTGAGAAGTTGAGGTGGGCGGATCACTTGAGGTCAGGAGTTTGAGACCAGCCTGGCCAATATGGTGAAACGCTGTCTCTACTAAAAATAAAAAGACAGTCAGATGACAGAAGTGCTCCACTTAGGACTAATGGAGACAACCCTCAAAGGAGTCTGAGGGCTCTACTCCACTTCTACAGCCAGTAAAGGATGGAGACAAGCAAACCACCTGATCACCCCAACCTGGGATTCTTCTGGAATCAGGTTGCAAGCTCTGCAGCAAGTTAAATACCTCACTGTGAGGGCAGTTCCCAAGAGTGAGGTGAGCAGGGTAATTACTGATGAGCTGCAGACAATGCCCTTAGGGAAACTAAACTCTGAGTCTTTAAAAGGATTATGGATATGATATCCCAAGGTAGACAAACATCAAAGTAGAGAGAAAAAAGCCACCTCCCAAAGTCAAGAAACACCCCTCCATCTGCAATACGAAGACCCTCAGCTTGATTTTACCTGTGTGAGTAGCTGCATTTTGGGGTCTGTTTCCAAGAAGGTCCTTCCTTTTGAGTTTGCATGCCTACATCCCTTCTGAGGAACTGGCCCCTCCTCCCTCTGTGCACAAGGCACAGAGCAGTGTTCAGCAGCTGTCTTTAACCCACAGAGTAGGTTTATGGGCCTACCCCTCTCACCAGTACCGCCAGAACTCTCTCCAGCAAACACTCCTCAACCCAGCCCTCTTTCCAAAAGTCTTAAAGAAGTCCCTTCATTTTGCCTTTTTCTTTTTTTCTTTTTTTTTTTTTTTTTGAGACAGTTTCGCTCCTGTTACCCAGGCTGGAGTGCAATGGTGCGATCTCGGCTCACCACAACCTCCACCTCCCAGGTTCAAGCAATTCTCCTGCCTCAGCCTCCCGAGTAGCTGGGATTACAGGCGCCCACCACCACATCCGGCTAAATTTTTTATTTTTTTATTTTTTTTTTTTTGATACAGAGTCTCGCTCTGTCTCCCAGGCTGGAGTGCAGTGGCACAATCTCCGCTCACTGCAAGCTCCGCCTCCCGGGTTCACACCATTCTCCTCCCTCAGCCTCCCTAGTAGCTGGGACTACAGGCGTCCGCCACCACATCCGGCTAAATTTTTTATTTTTTTATTTTTTATTTTTTGATACAGAGTCTCGCTCTGTCTCCCAGGCTGGAGTGCAGTGGCACAATCTCCGCTCACTGCAAGCTCCGCCTCCCGGGTTCACACCATTCTCCTCCCTCAGCCTCCCTAGTAGCTGGGACTACAGGCGCCCGCCACCACGCCCGGCTAATTTTTGCATTTTTAGTAGGGTTTCACGTGTTAGCCAGGATGGGCTCGATCTCCTGACCTCAAGTGATCTGCCCACCTTGGCCTCCCAAAGTGCTGGGATTACAGGCGTGAGCGACGGCGCCCAGCCTCATTTTGCCCTTGTAACTGAGGGTTTGGGTAAGGACACAACGCACAGAGGAAAGACAGAATCTTATTTCTGAGGAACCTCTCCTAGTGATAAGGTCACAGGAAGTGTATTTTACGAAGTAATTCTGTAGAAGCCTGAATGAACATTTCTCCACCTGGGAATCCTACGACTGTACAACCTCTTGCAAGCTGTGCCTGTCACACTGCCCTCTGTTGAGTCGGCCTCACATACACACTTCAGTGTCCCTATGCACCTGCCTGCCATGCCCTTACCTGCAGAAGGCCCCTATGTTCTCCACCAGGTAGCACTGGCCGCCATTGTGACAGTAACTTGGGAAGAGGTCACACACTGACCGGCAGGAGCCATTATGCCGCACAAAGCCACTGCGGCACTCAGTGCCATTTTCACTGGAGGCCAGGTCCCTGCCTGGCTCTCCTGGGCGGGGCCTGAGGGCGATGCTGCTGCCGGGGACCGACCCCAGAGTGTGCTGTGGAGGGACAGCATGCCATCGACTGTTGGGCTGGCCTGTCCCGGGCCCCATACCGGGCTTCCCAGTGGGCACTAGAAGCTCATTTTCATCTTCTAGGTCTCCACCTCCTACTGCATCTTTGTCATCCTCCTCCTCCTCCTCCTCTTCATCCAAGTCATCGTAAAAGGATGTGGTGGGGTAGAAATCAGATTCATCAAAGGGGGTGAAATCATCGTATAAGTCAAGCAGGCTCCAGGAAGGGGTCTCTCCCTCAGTATCAGGGTGGTTCTCTGAGGTTCCTGGTGACCCTGGGAAGCTCCCCAGGTCTGCGCCACGACCCTCACCATCCAATCCTTGGAAGTAGTCGATGTCAATGATATCTGATGCCGGTTGGGGCTCCAGGGTGCCCTGAGAGGGGTAAGTCGGCTCTGGCCCTTGAGGGTCGGGTGTGCTGCCCCCCAGGTTCAGCCAAACCTCCAAGGGGCTCTCCTTGGGGAGTTCAGAAGCTGGGCTCAGGTTGTCGCCAGGGGTGGGGGAGGGTGGCCCGCTGGCTTCTGTAGCCTCAGGACTGGCAGGGGGCATGACTGACTGCCCGAGGACCTCGTGGGGAGCCTGGAGCGTAGCTGGAAGGGCCTGGGCATCGCCACTACCCGCCTCTGCGGTCACTCCTCCCAGGCCTGGGTTGTCAGCCTCCAGCCAGGCGGTGCCGGTCGCCTGCAGCACCTCCTCTGGCCCGGCCAGCTCGCC